AGGTCTTCACGCGCACACACACACACTCACTCACTCATCTGTTTTGTTGCTCTATATGTTTCTCTCTTCTTGTGTTCAGATGCCTGTGATCTCACACTGGATCCAAACACAGCAAACACTCGTCTCATTCTGTCTGATGAGAACAGGAAGATCACATGTGTGAAAGATCATCAGCCGTATCCTGATTATCCAGAGAGATTTGATGAGTGTCATCAGGTTCTGTGTGTTGAGAGTCTGACTGGACGCTGTTACTGGGAGGCTGAATGGAGTGGACGTGTAAAAATATCAGTGTCATATAAAGGAATCAGCAGGAAAGGAGGGACTGATGACTGTTGGTTTGGATCCAGTGACAAATCCTGGAGTCTGTACTGCTCTGATAACAGATTCACTGTCCGTCACAATAACAACAGAACTGTTATACCTGCCATCCGTTCATCCTCTAATAGAGCAGGAGTGTATGTGGACGTGTCGGCCGGCACTCTGTCCTTCTACAGCGTCTCTGACACACACATAGTCACACACTTACACACATTCAACACTACATTCACTGAACCCCTCTGTGCTGGATTTAGGGTTTATCCTGATTCCTCATTGTCTCTGTGTGATTAAACAATAGAGAGACTCTCTGTAAATCCTTTCTGATGTTCACATGCACACAAACCCATCAAATCTCACGTCATTACATTTGTATTAAAAAGAAAAGTTCACAAATAAAATGTTATTTAAATGTTACTGCTGTGAGTTATTATTTTAATAAATGCAAAATGCTTAAAAACACTAACTTGATTAGATTAATACATAGCTTTAATAAATAGAATATTGATTACTGTCACACAACAGAAGAGGACAGAAAGGTAAGTGACATATAAACAGAAGTTTATTGAACGGCTGACACAGCACAGGAACGAGAATGAAGTAACGGTAAGTATGGCAGTTCAATGGAAATGGATATGACTTCGCTGAATGGTAACTGAATGTCTTTCTTACAGATGTAGGAACGAACACACGGACGGCAGGTAGTAGATGACTGAAGACAGAATCCTGGACGGTACGTGATATATACAGGTGAGTAGCAGGTAAGGTCTCTGTAGTGTAGGAACGACGAGACCAGACAAAGGAGTGCAGGTTGTGTGTGTCTTTATAGTGAGTGTTGATGAGGAGGTGCAGGTGTGGTGAATCAGAATCCTGGGGAGAGTGAACGAGTGGGCGGATGTAGTGTTTGACAAAAACACAATTTTCTCAGATTTTTGTTCCGAATATTGCTTTTTTTATTAAACTTGCACATATTCAAGTGTTGATAAAAAATAATGAAGTCAAATTTTTTTTTTTTTAAGCAGAGGCTTTTTCATGGAAAAATTTTCATGAAAATTATTATTTTTTTAAATGCTGGTGGTGGCTGGCAACTTAAAAAAAAAAAAACCCTGGGGGGGAAAGAGGTAATCATGAACCCATTTATGAATCATTGATGTGTGCTTTATTTTTCTGTCTGCACTGATTTAACACTCGATTCACTAAATGAATTCTGTACAAACACTCACAGTATCGCTGCTGAACACAGTTGATCTCGCTGTAACTCTGCTGCCTTGATCACTAGAAAATCTTCATCAGCATCTCTTCTTCTTCTGAAATGACTGTCTTTTCTGCTTTATTAGGTCTCCACGAGCACAACAGCTTTATATGACAGGAGCGACACAGCAGCTCTCACTCAGATATCTCTAGCAAATAACATTCACCTCACTGTCTGCTGAGTTTTATTTATAAATTTACATTAATATAGTTTTTTTATAATATGAAACTAGTCTTTTGACATTTTATATGAGGCTCTTACTCTAAAAGGTTCGAGTTACAAAGAGAATCAATATTTCTTTAACAGAATTTGTGTTCATTTAAATAAGCCCAGACCCCAACAGCCTAGAAGTGTTAATTATTTAACCCTTTATTAAAAAATTGATGTAAAAAAAAAAAAAGATTTTTTAACAGAAATTTTAACAGTAACATTCTGTTCCCTTTCATGGGAACTTCGAACTGCGTCCTCTAGGGGTCGCTATGCGGAACGCCTCGTCGTGACCCGTGTCTGAAGCATACATTGAAAAAACACCAACTCGTTGGCCGGCGACAGCCATGACGTCACTACCGGT